CCCCCCGCGCGTCGGGCGGCGGCAGAGGCCGGTGGAAAGCAACAGTTAACGCTTCCCAGGAACCTCATCTGGTTTCCATTAGCCCAGCTCCTTGGTTTCTGGTTTTGTTTTTTTTTTCCCCCCCTTTCTTTCTTTCCTTCCTCGTTTTTCCATCCCAATCCACACTTCCCTGTTCCCGAATTCCATCTTTTAGAGTTTGTGCTGCCTCCCTTAAGTGCCTTCAGTCTCTCTTTTTGGGGTGCCTGCTCATTAAAAACCATAAAGCCTCCATGGAAGCAGCATCTGTGGGAGCTGGAGGTGAGGCAGGGGATGGGGGGGGGGGGCAGTCCTCCATCCCCTGCCCCCTCCCCACGGATCCCGTGGGATTTGCCTCCGAACCGACCCCCCTGCTCTTCCAGGCTTCTGGGACGACCAGTTTAAGGACTAAAAAAAGTCACTGGAAGAATGCGCAGCCGAGGGCAGCGGAATTCCTGGGCTCCAGCAGACCCTGCTGCCCGCATTTTTCCCAGATGATGTTTTTTCCTGGAGCCTGGAATGGCTGGGAGCTGAACTATCAGCCCAGTGTCCCCAGCACCGTCCTGCCCGCTGGGAGCCGGGAAGCGGCTCAGGCTGCTGCAGCCTGCGCTGCCCTCCAGTCGCTGCGGGTCTGGGAATGGTGGGTAACTGGGATGGGAGGGGAGGGATGACCCGCCGCTTCCTCCTCCCTGGGGTCTGTGCTGCTTCTGAGCTGGAAATGGTGCGTGGCTGGAGGGCAGGAGGATCCTGAGCCCACGGTTTGTGGCTGCTCGGGCGCAGGCGGGGGCCTGGGGCCCTGATTTAATGACCTTAAAGGTCTCATTAGTCTCATTATCTTTATATTTCCACCAGTTACTGCGTGACCAGCCTTGCCACACACCTCTGGCTAAATGGCCCCCCCTGTTACCTCCCCCCGTGTACATTTGTCCTGGTGTTTCAGGCTGCTGAGGAGCCCCCCCCGTTTCCCATACAAGCTCAGGACCAGCCCGGTGCTCTCAGAATTCCTGTTCCCACCCCCCGGGTTTCACTCTACCCCGAGCAAAGTCGAAAGGGCAGCTCCGGGGTTGTTTGTGTAAGCGCTGGGGCTGAAGCACAGGGATAAGAAAGGGTTTGGGGAGGGAGGGAAGTTTGTGCTGCTGCTGCCTTGGAGCTTCCAGTGCTGGGGGGTTGACAAGCAGCTGTGCCCGGTGCTCTGGCAGTGAAATCGGGAGAGCTGGGTTTTCCCATAGAATTATGGACTGGTTTGGGTTGGAAGGGACCTTCAAGATCATCCAGATCCAACCCCCTGCATGGGCAGGGACACCTCCCACCAGCCCAGGCTGCTCCAAGCCCCATCCAACCTGCCCTTCAACACTGCCAGGGATGGGGCAGCCACAGCTTCCCTGGGCAACCTGGGCCAGGCTCTCACCACCCTCACA